CAAATGGGGATCTGGGGATTGGGCAACATTAACCTCTACTAATGAACCAGACGCACCCTTTCGCATAAGGAAGGAGGTCGGACCCTCCAGCTAGTGGGTGGAAGCTGAGATGTTTACAATCCAATATCCAGGAATCACGGTCAGTATACTGGATAAGGCTTCGCAAGTCCCGATCGTAGTGAAGAAAAACATCCTGAGAAAGATTAGAGTGGTGGAGAATGAGGATTTTACGATTTTCGAGCCACTGGTATCTAGAAGTGATTTGGAAGTTGATCCAGCAGAATGGGCATGGAACATCAAGGGAAGATCGTCAAGGGTAATCAGGAGATTTAATATACTTCAGTATTCCACTAAATTAGGCTATCGTCTGAGGGGGAAATCATGCCATTTGGACCACATATTGGCAACAAGATGGGAGAAGAAAGGGCATATACCAAGGGAACAGGTGGAAAAGTTACCATGGTCAACTTTACACAGTATCAGATTAGCCAAGGTCAGGAGTATGCAGTGGCTCATCTTTCATCTAGCACTTCCAGTCAATGTCTGGTTGTATGGCAGACGAAGCAGTTTCAATAGGAACGAAGAGGATCAAAACTATGAAATGTGTATGGAGGGTGTGTAGGAAACTCTGATCCATTGTTTGTTGCACTGCCCGAAAGCAGAACATCTCTGGTCGCTAGCCTGTTCATTATGGTCACGCACTACGGAGCTTCCCTTCCCGAGAAATACGAAACTACTATTGATTGGAGTTGAGGTTCCTAAGGGATGGAGGGYGGGACATAAGTATATCTTTCAGCTACTAAGACARTATMCTCTATGGRCAATTTGGAAACGAAGATGTCAGAGGGTGGTAGGCAAGATTCTKATGACGAGAATGGAMGYTAGGGYGACCCTCTACAGTCTGCTRGAGACAGAGATTAGGGCGTTATGGTTAAGAACAAAGAAGCAAATGGCCTTTAACCCTGAAAGGGCAAAGGATACCTTAATCAAATTCCAGAATAGGGTACTGGGCCAAGGCAAAGTTGCTTCTATAGAAGGACAAAGACTTATTTTCCATTGGTTTAAAGAGGATCCCCAGGAGGAGGCGATGGATCGTCAGGGGGGCACACAGGAACTTAGGCTGCCATAAAAATTTAGGTGCGGCAGGGTAAGGAAGGATAATTCAAGTGGTTTAGGGCTTAAGGAATATAGGTATGTCTGGAAAGGATAAGTCAAGGGGTCTTTAAGGGTTTAAGGAATATAGGGTAGGAAGGGAGAATGATCTCATAGACTATAGATGACAACAGTGCAGTATCAGTGAGGGTTTGGGAAAAAGGGCTTTTAAAAGGAAGGACGGTTCGAGAAGGTCATGATGGAGGTGGAATTAAAATCATTCTTCTTTGTTGTGCACTACAGGTGTTAGGTAGGCAGAAGAACGCAGAGTTAGCTTTGGAGAATTAGCACAGCAAAAATTTTATCTGCTGGTCTTGGTACCGGTAAATCATGACTGCATTACGACCAACGGTTTAGGGTTTAAGGCTTACGCAGAAATAAGGCAAATACGGTGATAGAGGTATAGAGAGTTCAAAAGACTCGTAAGTGTCCCAGAACACTCTTGCATAACATATCTACCCGACAGCTACATAGCTGAGAGGAGCAGAGCTGGGATCAGATAGATTGTCAGGCAGAGTTAGTAAAGGCTAGCTTAGGCAGGGGTGAGAGGTGGTACATCCTCTTTCAGGGAAGTAATCAATGCTGCCCACTCGGGCCTCCCAGCCAAAATGGGGAGGAGCGTGCATGAGTTCTGTATGTATTCCATATTGACTTGCCGGGGGAATAGGAACCGGACTGTCGCTCCCCAGAATGGTAGGAGCCAGAACCGAGAGGTTCTGTTCTTAAAAAAAAAAGAAAAAAGAAAAAAGAAGAAGATGGATGAACCAAGAGAGAATTACAGACTCAACAAAACCTTCCTTGCCCACCGTGTATCGAACCTCCTTGGAACAAAGGAAAAATGGAAAGCTAAAAACTGCCACTATGTCTTCCAGGAAAACAATTGTGATGAATTAGATCACCAGCACATTCTTCGGGGGCTCAGTGTGGCATTCTGAGCCACACGGGCCCCAGTTAGGGCCCGGTTCCAGATAGGCAGGGTAGGCCTAAGGGACGACGGTTCAGATAAGGCCTAGAAAGGCCTGGACCACGGCGGTCCAGACAGGCCAGGGGTAARARCCCAGGCCAACGGCCACAAGGCCGGTACCGGTCCAACATAGGACCTACCGGTGGCACTGCAGAGGCTGCCGAGTTTTAGGCGCCAAATCCAGTTTCGAAACTGGACTGTTGATTCAGACCAACGGTCCAGGCCGGTAGGTACCAGCAGGTAGGAGGCCGGCCCAGCACTACAAAAGGCTGGGTACCAGCCTCAGTGGGGAGGCTAGAAGTTAGTACGGTTGGGTTAGTCTTCAGGATTAGCGCAGCCTTGCACCGTTAGGGAGATTAGCGCAGCACAGCAGCGTTAGCGTGAGCAGCGAGGCGACGACGAGCGCAGCGGCGAGAAGGAACAGCGCAGCAGCACTGCCGCGCCATAGCTACCGGTTCAAGTACCAGGGAGGAAGGCTTCACCTTCGCTCCCTCTGTTCCTCCACCCCCCTGCTCTCTCTCTCTCTCTCTCTCTCTCTCTCTCTCTCTCTCTCTCTCTCTCTCTCTCGCTCGCTCGCTCGCTCCCCTCCTACCTTCTCAGTCTAAGCCTACTTCTGAGTTCTCCTACGGGACTACTAGGAGTGTGAAGGATGGTTACGAATTCTGATAACATTGGGAACAGCGACATTGGGACTACAGGTTGAGGACTACTTGGGGATCTGATTTCATCTTCCTTCTGGAGATGTACTTGACATTGTGAGATCGATATCTGAGACATTGTGAGACATGGTATTCGCGACATTTCGGATTTTCGTCACTTCTGACATTCCAAGATACTATCTTTGGAAACATTGAGTTGACGTCATCTTCCCTCTCCTCCTCCCTTCGTCTCTCTCCTCCCTCCATTCGTCCATGGATGATCTCAGACCCTGGCCTTCATCTATGTCTAYGGCCAGGGCTTTCACACCCCCGATGTATGATTGAGAGTGTTCGATTGCAGTCCGAGTCAGGTCAGAGTCAGTCCATGGGTATCAACTCTTCCGCTGTATTTGTATCAACT